ACACATTTGGGACTAACAGGGTTTACTAGAATCCCACCACTCCACCACAGAGTCACCGCAGTAGACGTTAGATGAGCGCTGTTGCTCCGCGGCACTTGTTACTATTTTACAGACAACCGTTTTTCCTCTATACAGAAATCGGTGTTGGTTGTCACTTTCATAGGACTTGGTGTCTGACTTGAGTAGCATTTATACACCAAACTTCTATAAATTGGTCATTTTTCTATAAAGCCATTTCTGCATTTCTCTCGTGTGGCCGTCAAGTAAGTTTGGCTATGCATGATGTTTTCAAAACTGCAAGCAAGGAATATACCGCAAACCTACTACATAGGGTGTCTTTGAAACTGTTATTATCTTCATACATAGGGACCTTCTGTCACTTAACACTGTATTAGTGTGTGTGGTTTAATAGACACATGGCATCATCACACGTTTTTGAATGTCGTCCTATTGCAGGATTATCAGAACTTGTACAAGGTCAGTGACGAGTATGTTGAGGATGGCATGTCAGCATATGTGAAGCAGGCTCTTTGTCTACCAGTTTCTGTGCACGAACTACTGCAAACCACGTCACAACCTGTAAGTATCACAAGCCTGTCCAATATTTATACACTTTGCATTATGATGAAATGGTCAGTATTTGAAATCTGATATTTCTAATATTATTAGAGCTGTTTATTTTACGCTTATTATAGTTTAAGCTGCTAAACTTCTTAAATGCTGACACATCTGAATCATACCGTAGGTGATTTCATCATTGTATTGCTGTTTTCAGGATGACGGGGTGCGATATTTCATAGTTGACTGCCGACCAGCTGAGCAATATAACAGTGGCCATCTTCCCACAGCCTTCCATTTAGATGCCAACTTAGTACGTATGCCATAGTGATAAGGATAGTGATTTCCCTGAGTGAGGGCAAGTTCATCTTGATATAGAATATATTCCATTTGGACTGCGCTGTCTGGGCTTCACTTTTATATATCTGCCCATTGGTGATCAGTGAAACCCAAATGTATGCAAACGACATGAAGATTAGCACATAACCATGCTATACAAAACAAATAGGATGAGGTTCTAATTCTGATATAGTAATAATTATTTCATTTCCCGTTTCTCACTTTTCTTTTTCAATCATTAGGTACGTCTGATTCCCATTCCATAACTAATTTTAAAACTCAAATGTCTCGTCATTGGAGCATCATGTATGCTGACAGACACAACATATATGTTTATTCTATACAACCTAACGTCTTTTTCCACACTTCCACAGATGTTGCAGGAGCCGGGAGAGTTTGCGTCGGCGGTGAACGCGCTCTTTGCCTCTCAGAAGCAGGCCATCGCAGCAGGGTCGGTAGCCGGCGGAGAGCACCTGTGTTTCATGGGCAGTGGCCGAGAGGAGGAGGACCAGTACGTTCACATGGTGGTCGCCAACTTCCTCCAGCGCAAAAAGCAATACGTCAGCCTGGCACGCGGCGGCTACGCAGGTAATTAGATGGTAATTACATGGTAATTGGATGGTAATTATAGGTACATGGAGAGGTGGTGACATTCCTAAATGTATGCTGTATGCGAACTCTTCGTTATATTTCTTCAGTTACGAAATCTAAATTCGTTGGTGACCGTTTCTCATGAAGGTGATATAATAAGCTAAATATCACAAGAATCCATGATTTCCTTTTCTAGAATATGCTATTATACATGTTATAGCTAATAATATATTGACAAAATCCCATAATTGTAATACGTACAATAATCTAATGTTACGTTGGATGTCATTATATTGTCTTTAAAACCATTTGGTGTTGATGGTCTCCGTTGAATCTTAGAAGAGTGGCTGGTTATTGGTTGCATGTTCTTGCAGTGCTGCACTCTGTGCTAGGCGATGATGTAAGCTACACACTGGCAGATCATAGTCCTAGGCACTGCATTGTGTGCAATCCAGATGCCGAACTCAATGGCAGGGATTTTTCCGACGCAGCAGAAGAATTCCAGCACTTGCTGCAGGAGGTAGACATATTTAGTCAGCTTACATCGCATTCCAGTCTAACCTGCATTTTCACACCACAGTCGTAGTTATTTGGAACCGGACTAGCCTTTTTAGTTGAAGCAGGATGTTTTTTTGTGTATTATTCTGCTCATCTTGTATAGTTAGACTTGCGGTGCAATAGCAATGAAAAGTTAAATGGCTTTATCTGGGCTTGTAGCTTAAGTTGCAGTCAGCACCAGCTGGCCAATAATAGAGGTAAAGAGACGAAGATGATTGGAGCAAATTAATTTTTTTGCTTTGGTTTGTATTTTTATTTTATTTTTAATTTGATTTACACTTTACCCTATGGTAGAAGGGAAAGGTTGGTACTAATCCTTATTTTGAATATTTAGCAATAACTAGTGGTAGTTGAAATAGTGTGGCAACATGCACAGATAGGTCACACTAACATCTATCAAAGTGTAAAGATTATAATGGATAAACTAAGTTTATAAGATCTCACTATTCCATGAGTAATTGCGAACACCCTTATTTTTTAGGGTTCGACACTATTTGGTAAATTGTCCTCAGCTCTCAAAGGGAAATCAGAGAAAGTTAAGGAGCAGCTGACCAACTACATAGTTAATCCCACAGGAACTGCTCCTCCACGTGATCGGTATGTGTAGTTAGTTACTCCATGTTGTCTGATACGCCATCAGGGAATTTCTACATTTTCCTGCTTTGAACTGGTTACCAACAAGCCATTATAACTTACGGTTAGAATTGGATAATGGTAAGTGGTAAGGTTGGGATTAGATTAGAGTGAGGATTGTGGTTAAGGTTACTCGCCACCTTTTGCACGGGTATTGCTCTAATGAAGATTAAACGTTTATTGACGAATTAATTGAATCAATCACACGTTTTATTTATACAGGAGATATCTCAAAACAACAAATTTCATGAAATTTCCAGCACCTAATTATGTTACCACAGAAATTTTGAATTTTTATATAAAAATTGTATTTTGGATATTTCTCAATTACCACAAAGAGTGAGGAAGCAAAATTGTTGCCACAGGTTAAGCACAATATGTACCAAAATAGCACATCAGGATTTTCTTTAAGTTTCATATTTACTGAGAAAAATAAAAAAAACTGCTTAAAATCAAGTTGTGTTAGAATTAAAAAAATTTTCGAATAAAGAGGCATAACTCATAAAATACGGCACTTAATAACAATCCCTGATGCATTTTTTACAGCAATATGTTACCATTAAAACGAGTGTAAAATTAAATTATTCCGAGTTGTAATCACAGTGAAATATCCATTTATACATCGGCTACTATGTCAGAAATCGAAACGGAGAAATCAGCGTTTTTCTATTTTTTACATTGATCGACCGTTTGTGTGCAAAATGGGTGAACGTATGTGAAACATCTACTGTTAGTACTTACATATCCATGACTAACTGACACCCTAAATTGGTGAAGTGTTCTATGCAACTTGAGAAGTTGTGAGAAATTACGAGGTTACCATCGCAAGTTCATGCAAAACGCGCGAACACCGCCCATTGCCTGACGTCACTAAGCTATATGTCACCAAACGCGTGCCGTATGTAAGGTATATGTAGCGAGGTGAAAGAACTATTTTAGGCAGCGTGGGATATAGGTCATATATCACTGGCAGATGACAGCTGTAGAAGGGTTGATGGATACTGGCTTAGTAAATATAGTGAAAATTCTAGTTGTATCATGTCTCTGATGTCATCACTGACGCCAGCCGCGGCTCACTACACCTGTACGCGGGCAATCAAAATGCTCTGAAAGTTCACATGTATCGTTATATGGAGAAATGAGCAAGTACACAGGTGGCACATAGTGTTAGCCATCGAATAAAGTTGAAAATGAAAAATCAGTAAAATTTTGCCTAAAACGTTGAGAGTATATATAACCCTGGGAGTTAAAATGGTTTAACGTGGGAAACTAAGAATGCTGCCATCAGAAATGTTTGTCTAGATGTTTTCTACCATTGTAGGACAGTAACATTTACCCCACATGTAACACATTTACTTGGCAATAATCAAATATTGCAAAGTACACCAAACATACCCTATACCGATATACGTTTGCACAACATGTATTTAGTTAGACTTTGTGCCATATGGCTGGTAAGAAACTTCAATTCAACATGACTACGGGCCTGTTCATGCTTAATTGTGATGGAAATCAGTCACAAGATGCAGGTATTTTCATTGGCTTGATTTCTACTTGTGTTAAGTGCAACAATATCATGGTATCAACGTAAAGCGAGTGATGGAAAGTTGGTGGTGCATAATATTGCTGTGAAGGCAGACATTTCACCTCACATGCATGTTAGCTGATTTATAAATTTAGGAGGAAAAGAAAAACAACCATGAAGTCATTCTCACCGATATGATTTGCAAGTCTGAAGATTTTAAAGAATTCCTTACGCAGCCCTTTGCATTAATTTTTCGATATAATTGCAGGCATGTAACGCCATCGGACAAACTTGGTAAGCGGTATCGAGGAATGGGCCCCGTCTTCACAATAGACGACGATGACAATGATGCGGAAGTCGGTGGCATGCCTTCATCGGACGACGAGAATAAAGAGTGCGTTAGCGTCGAGACGTGGGTTAGGAAGCCGGAGGTGCTCGGAACCTTCAAGTGCCACGAAATCAAGGAGAATGGGTACATGCATTCGTGGTAAGTAACTCGAACTATAGCGGTCGGTCCGACAGATGCACGCTGATAGACACAAATTCACAATGCTGTAACATAGGGTACATTTCTTGTTTATTCATACTTGGTTGTAGATCTTTGTTTAATTCACAATTCACAATCTTCGTTCTTCGTTTGCCCTTGAGTACAGATTGAGATTTAATAGGCCTCAGCGTGTCTCCTCGGCTCTATTAACATTTTACACGTTACATGTTACACGTTGCTGCATATACACCCTCTTACGTCGAAGCACGGAGGCCAAAAGAAGCCAGTGATCAACTTGTGGCGAGCAGGCTGCTCTCTTGTTGTCACTCTACCGGACAACGCCAGCTATCGGCCAACATTATCAAAACAATTTGAAACATTATCAAAAACAAACAAACGTAACAAACATGTAAACAAACGTTTGCATGGCCATTACACTAACTACTCGTTCAGTTGGTCGACCGGCTCTCTAGTAATCACTCTACGTATTTGTAATGATGTTTTGTAAAGGATTTCAGAAAGGACTATGTATTGTTTAGGATTTGTGTGTGAGGTACTATGTTTATTCACTGTACTACTTAGTATGTACTATCCCCGTGAGTAAACAGTGGGAAACATAAAAGTGAGAGCCACGTAATGATTATTGTTTACTGACCTTTCAGTCACCTGTTGGTCACCAAGACACACATGTTCATACTGAGGGACATACCAGATCGCAAGGACATGGCTTATATCATAGCGAGGCGAGTACTGTCCAGCATTGTGAAGATAACTTCCAAGAAGCGACATCCCGAGCTCATCACGTTTAGGTAAGTAGATTTGTTGGGGTCATAAAGATTATACTGATAATAGTAATGCTGATTATTATGTTATTGTAGATACTAAAAATCCATCACTACTAAGAATGTGCAACTCCTAAATCATGAAACTGGACCTCTTTGCCAAAACTTCCCAGCAAAATCAGCATTATTGGTGTGTGTTTTAACCTTCTACTTCTAAGTCATTATATGAGTGAAGAGGAGAAATAAAGCATCATTATGCTATAATAATAAAAGCTATATATTACAAGATATAGTATTTACATAAAGTCATATAATTGAGTTGTGGTGAAGTAAACATTAGATGATTGGGGAGAATGGGTGATGATGGGTGAGGATGAGTGAAGGCAGAGAGGGGGGGATGAGGGATGGATTTATTTTGCTGTTACTGTTTTTGTTGCTGTTGGGAAACATTTAAATGAGGATTGCATGTTTTTTTGTAGCACATCTGACTGGTTAAATTATTGCTGCAGGTATGGGACAAGTGAGGACGATGGATTAGAGTTCACCGATTGCGATAGGTTCTTGATACCAAATTCAGGTGATGCAACTAAACTAGTCAAACAGCAGATACTTCAGCATATTGAGCCAGTCACAGCAGCAACACCAACACCTGCAGAGCCAGAAAACAAGTGATAAAATTATTGTAGTATATTTTGCAAACTTATCAAGTGTATGTTGCTTGGAAACATGGTGTTTCCAAGGTAAGGAGGACAATACATAGAACTATGTACTGTGGGCACACGTGTTGCATTATGCACGGGCAATTATGTAGTTGTTATTTGGGAACTGTTGGGTTCCCATTAATTATTAATAGTGCTGAGCTTCTTGAGACAAGCTGGAAATTATTATTTACTTCATGTTATGTTACAGTAAAGTACGATGGGATATTTTTGACTATAAGTTTTAGTATAATGTAGTGTTCTTGCCATGAAAAAACATGTATCTTTGTTATGTCCTATGGGGCCAGGCCATTCAGCTTCAATGTTCATTTGTATAAAGTTTAAAAACCTGTATTTCTGCAGAATTTTTTCCCCACAAAATCTTGTTTCTATAGTAGCAGGCTTTTCTGTTTCAGAAAGGGTAAGGATAATATATCGCCAAGGCTTGTTAACTTGTAAACAGTTTATGTGCTCTTCTTAGAATGCAATATATCCGAAGTTGGAATTAACACACCGTTTTAAAGCATCAAATGTTTTGTTGTTAGCTTTGTGGTAGTTTTTGGGGGGTATTTGGTGTATATATTACATTTGTGAACATATTGAACTTGGGGTATTTTCCGATATGTGGAATATGTGGAGTCTTCGTACTTGTTGCACTTGTAAGTATGCCACCATATTTGTTCTTTGCGTATGTCTCAGTACTCTGTACAAGCTGTTCCAATAGTATTTTTGCGTTTTAAACAATTCTACAGTCAACAGTACATATATTTAATGTAATATAAATAAATGCATCTCAATTTCAAGCACTATTGGTATGTCATTTTTTCCACCAGTGTATGATAGAATTTATGCGTTGGATACGATTTATAACACTGAATAAGACACGGCAGGAAATATGATGTAAAATGTGATCGGTTTATTGTGTTGATGGTTCACGTATTATGTTCAACGTATCAAAAAAAAGTTACGAGTTTTCTGTTATGGGGTTCTCCATCTATACCTATATGTATTTGTGCAGTATCAAATCAGTAGAATGATAGAAACAGGCTATCCGTGATGGTTTCATTCAGTTTAAGGCCCCTAAACGTGAAAATTTCCTTTGTTAGTATTTGATTATCAAATATGATCAATAACGATTGACTTTTCCAGTCGCACTGCAACTGAACGTTTCACTGAGGGTTGCGTTTTATATGATGAAAATGCGCTTGAAATCCATCTGCCTCGCAAAGGAAATTTCCTTCACTTACTCTGTGCAGATTTGAGAAGAAGCAAGTACTGACAGGCAGGCACCATAAAGACAACGCACATATAGTCTGTAAATCTGAGGCGTTTATTGTGAGATTCTATTGCTTGTGAACAAATACCACGTTGTAAAACTATTACAATTTATAACGGTTACAATGACTACGAACGTCAAGTGTACATTGCATATTCTGATGCTAACAAGATCTTTGAAAATGCAGTTTCGTCAGTTTTACATTAATTTTCATTAATTTACTCAAAGGTCCGACAATAGGAACCGGGGATGCTACGTTCTATTTATCTGATAATTAAAGTGTTTGGCTAGCATTGAGAATAATTCAACAGTGGTTATATATATATATTATACGGTGTCAACACTTACTGAAAGCAATCTTGCCTTGTACACATCTTATTATATATAAGTTGACATTCATTTTACGCATCTTAACAATAAAATGATTATCAAGATAAAATGAAATTTAAATGGGTAAAATCAATTTAAATGTAGCTGCGCTCAAAATATTACCTAGCGCTATCAGTAATAATCTACGAATAATATATTTTAATGAGGATCAATACGCATAATATAATTTTATAATAGAATACATTGTTTTGAAAAAACACACTTGTGTTCGGTAAATTTTGCTTATCAGGTTTGACATTTTTCCAAGATTTCTTAGGCGAGTAATTATTTATCTTTTTTTTAAAACTAACCTCGCAACACTGAATGTGACATTCACTTACATACAACTACATGCTTCTCTTTCATGTACACAATTCTGCTCATATCACTCACAACATCTGCCAATACCTGATCGCACGTTTAAAAACACAACCCACATTCAAAATATACAACATTATTAAAGACAGGCACACAAATTCTACACGAGACACAATCTAGTTAATTATCGTATATCTTATGATTACACATTATTTACACACAGATGTGATGCCAAAATGAACGCTAGTCGGCAGCACCGATCAGCTGAAATTTGACAAAAGGCATATATTGAATGATTGGCATGCTTAAATCACTGAGGTTCCATTCATATAAATCGACATATGGGCAAAAAAGTAAACGCCTACCGGCATTGCAAGTTATTAGCATTTTCGTTTGTGGAATCGGTATAGTTTCTGCAATGTTCTAGAGCTCGTTAACATGAATGAACACAACGAGACAAATGTACAACAGGATCTCGTGTAGACATCTTAACACATCCTTATAAACCATGGATAAATAGTCATGGTTGATTTCCAATTTTTCAACCTCTGCCATCACTCCTGGGTGTTCACACAGAAACAACTGACAAAGTATTCTTAATCATTTCATCTCAAGCTGTACCGCTGTCACAAACATGTCTGGTAATTTCCCGCGTACACGTGCAAAACAAAGAATACTTATGACATGATGATTCGAACAACAGCAAATCAATTCCTCTCACAAAATATAGATGACAACAACCTAGCTACGAGTAATAAATTTTTTTTCACCAATCACTGCCAATTTTCTTACTTTATCGATATCATAATAGGTTGTTGTTCACTAAAATTCACAGCTAATTTTCTAAGAAATATTCTACATGAGATTAAATCACACACATCACAATTCTCATATCCATGGGTCCAAACCTTGCTAACAACCAGCTCCTGGTGTTCCAAACAAGCAAACAGCCTGATGTTCACACGCCCCAACACACAACATGCAAAGCATTCCAAATTTGCGAGAAAATAAACATACATAAAAAAATAGAAAGCTTAAACACTAAAATGTACATTATGTAAAGCATAAACAATAATACAGTCCACTTGCCTTTAAAATACAACAAGTCAATGAACTGCCTTGAACTGCCATTTCCACGTACTGACAAGCGGCCACACTTCACATGACAGCCAGCCAGGTCAGGACCGCATTGAACCTGTCAGCTAGTGAACGCAGTGACCTTCACAACCATAAAAGCTACATATTGCCTTGCCGTTTTATAGGAAAAAAAAACAAACATTTTAAGGTGCTTACAGAAATCAGATAAAGATTTGCAATTAATCAATCGTATGCTACCATTATTACTGAAATTAAGACAGCCACGATGTAATTAATGGCATTGAGAATACCTAAAGGTCGCATTAACGCTGCTCACAAGCAGTTTTTTCTCAGCTGGCCATGCGATGTTAACATTGCAAGTAACGCCAGATAACAAAGTCGATATCCTCAGTCAACTGTAAAATGCAAGTAAACATTTCTAAAACTCATCAATTAACTTTTCTTTATTGCAAAGTATGACGAGTTAAATGGCCAATTAATATTTCAGTTATGCAATGTGTTTACCACAGTGTAGTCCTACGATTAAAACAATAGCCACAAGTGAATGCAGTAAAGCTTACATTACATGACTACTCCATCAGTTCACTGTAAACACAACTGTGCCTTATTGTGACTTTTACTGCAAAACTTAATAAATTTAATAAAAACTGAGTCACGAGAAGAGATGGAAGTAGTTACGAAAAAAGGATAGCATGGAAAAGGGAAAGATATAGACAGAGTGAGCATAAAGAGACCATGTGTTCCAGGCTGCAGCGATGAAAAAATTAGAAGACGACAAGCACGACAGAGAGAGAGACGACGAGAGAGAGAGAGGATGAGACGACCATGAGAGCAGACACGAGAAGAGAGCAGGAGCAGAGAAGCAGATAGAGATAGAGCAGAAGAAGAGATAGAGCATAGAGAGCAGCATGACTGACGAGAGCTTAGAGAGAGAGAAAGAGAGAGAGAGAGAAAAAGAGATAGAGATAGAGAGAGTGAAGAGTTAGCAGGAGAACAACTCCCACGGCAACTTCACTCTCCGCTTGACGACGCATCGTACACGTGCCCGCTGCAGTGACCCAGGCCCGACTGCCGTACCTCTGCCACCGCTCAGTTTGTGTAGCTCTCAAAGTATCTGTAGGTGGGGTTCTCGTACCCATTCATCTGCATGTTGTTGACGTGCTTCTCCTCGGGCGACGACTGCTGATCGACCTCGGTGAAGCCCGCGCGCGACGCCTCGACGCGCTTCTTCGCGACGACAATGCCGACGATGATCGCGGTCAGCAGCGCAGTGCCCCCTAGTGTCATAGCGAGGAACAAGCCCTTGTCGTGCAAGTGGTCGCCTTGCTTCACGCTGGACTCCTGGATGAAATTCTGAAAGAGTTTTCCCATACGAAGGACACTTTAGGAATAATTAACTTTCACTTCATATTCATATTCATAATGATTGGAGCACGCGGATTCTCCATGCGTATTATCAATGCAGGTTTTCGTGCAGTGACGGGTCTGCTTAAAATCAGTACCTAAAAGGTGTAATTTCTAAGACCACAGCATTGAGAAAAGTGAATGGCACAGTTTACCAATCAAAATATGATGTGTAACAACAGGCAGTACTGTTAGACGTGTTTCTAGTCTTCTCCAAGAACCCATCTAACCAGTAGCTAGTGCAGCACGCCAGGTCATAAGTACTAAGAGACAAGTTGCCTTTAAGCAGGACTACCTAAGGACAATACATAGATGTGATGAGATTGCTGTCACTGGACCTGTTCACATACAGCAACAGTAAACACGCACCTGCTCCACCTCCACCTCGCTGTTTCTGCGATGGGCAACGAGGTTGTCACCATGGATGTCAGCAATTGCCATGTCTACAGCTTCCTTCACCTGTTCCTGATGCACTTCGTTGCTTACTGATTCGACCTGCGAGTGCCAACGCACAATGGTTTAATTCACAATAGTGACAAACAAATTAAATTCACAATATTTAGTATATAAATAAACTTATCTGCATAATGAATTAGTTTACTAATAATTGTACTACTGTATAAGCTGTATATTTCACGGTGCTTTAATTTTCGCAAATTTCGCGAACACGTCCCGACCGCGAAAATAACAACACGTGAATAATTCATACAGAATAATTCATAAATCACCGACCGCGAAATTAACCACTCGCGAAATTGTCCGTCAAGTCTGAATTCGCGAAAATATCTGTACGCGAAAAATATGACGTATACAGTAATTATTATATAATAATAAAATAATTTCTACTCCACAGGTCCCAATTACTAAATAGAAACTGGTCAGGTTCTATGGCACTGACAACGTACCATACATTATTAAATACAACATAACCTAGTTGTTAGTCATCAAACATTCATCGCCAGGTTAACAACCATCCAGCAGCATACGATGCTGGCGGGATTAAATTACACAAGGTGGTACAGGTAAACAGGCAGGGTAATGCCACGTCGTCACACCTTCAGGGGGATTTAACGAGGTACAGGTAAACAAGCAGGGTAATGCCACGTCACCACACCTTCAGGTGGATTTAACGAGGTACAGGTAAACAGGCAGGGTAATGCCACGTCATCACACCTTCAGGTGGATTTAACGATGTACAGGTAAACAGGCAGAGTAACGTCTCATCGTCACACCTTCAGGTGGATTTAACGATGTACAGGTAAACAGGCAGGGTAATGTCACGTCATCACACCTTCAGGAGGATTTAACGATGTACAGGTAAACAGGTAGGGTAATGCCACGTCGTCACACCTTCAGGGGGATTGAACGAGGTACAGGTAAACAGGTACGGTAACGTCACATCGCCACACCTTCAGGTGGATTTCCGGCACGGCTTGCTGCTCGGCGGTGCTCATCATCTGTGCCTCGCTTGTCGACCTAGGCTCCTCCTCTGTCGTCTCTTCAACGACGACTGGTGCTCCCGTGCTCACCGTCACTGCCTCCATCGCCTCCTGCTCACGGTCGGCCTTGTCTGCAATTTCTATCACAGAGATACGCGCCAGAGGTTGTAGAACGTGTACCGAGTGACAGGGCATGTAGTAATAGTAATGCAGTAATGTAGTAATGCAACCCCAATAAACACATGCACGCACGCACGCACGCACGCACACACACACACACACACCCACACACATTTATTTATTTATATATTGCGTTTTTCTTTTTTCACTTAAAAACGGATATGGCCGATCATACATACTTGACTGTGCGATTGCCAGCTCTTCCTTGTATTTCTCCAGTATCTCATTGTTCGCCTCACCACCACTGAGCTTCATTATTGTATTGCTGTCATCCAGTCGCACGTTGCTGTGGATTTCGTTCAGGAATTTCCCTGTAAAACGATCGGCAAGAGTACATCAATTTCACATACACATACAAGGGCAAGAGCAAACAAGCTTAAGAGAAAGCGTCGAATTTCTAGCAAAGCGCAGATTTCGCTGATACACCGTATATGAGCAGAACTAATCTAAGAGTCAAAAACTTTGGTGTTCTGAAAACCCTTTACGAATATCAAACCACGATATTACAACTTTCTCTTTCTCTCTCCCTTTTTAATTCCGACAATATTCCCTGACGTTTCTCCGACATTTTAAACTGAAACAGGTCTCTGTCGTTCTCCCAATTCCCAGGACGGCGGTCGGCCACCCGCAGAATCCGACGACGTTTCGGACGAGACGTACTCAGCTCCGGCATGATCTTGCGCTCGATGGCTGGCAGACGCTGCAGCAGGCCAATGCTCTGGTTGATGCGGCTGTCGATCTCGTTCATGTGCTCGATGGCAGCGCTGTGAAGCTTCGCCGCCGCCGCCGGGTCCGTGTTCACCAGGTGGCGATAGTGGCTGATGGTGTGCTTGCGGTCCTTCTCCTCTACGCGGATGTACTTGTGCAGCGCCTTCATGATCTGGTGCGCCTGCGAGCAAATGAAAGTCGCAATTATTAACTATTATGCAATACGGCATACTAAACAAAGGTAAGATGGCTACCACCATCACACGTATTAAGGAGACTGATTAGGGTGCAGCCATCGATACAGGTTAGGGTTTCCAAATTATTATCTCTAAAATACATCGAAAAGTAAAAACATGTAGAGGAATTAGATTTCACCTATTAGCAGAGATATTACTGGGCAAAAATTATGAGTTTATGCCCTTATGGTATATAAAACATCAAATAATGCAGCCACATTCGTCTGCATTACAAGAATTGCCTTGTACTTAGTACCACCAGACAAAGCTGCAGCTCATTGAGGACCGTAGTGGTTCCAGAATGGTACAGCGTCTCTATTGCTTAATGCAAGTTACCATTAACAAAGTGTAGGAACAGGGTCTCATGATGCTTACTCATAATACATTCAGTCAAGAGTACGGTGCCACTCAGCATTCTGTGGGGTTAGATACCTAAGGATGCTTCTAGTCTAGGGTGTTCAGGTAGGCTGTTAGGTTGATGAATTAGGGGTTGTATTTACTTCAGGGTGCTCAGGGAAGCGGTAATGTTAGTTACCTGAGGATGCTTATTTTTCAGGGTGTTCAGGTAAACAGTTATGTTAATAACCTGAGGATGCTTTGTCATCAGGGTGTTCAGGTAAGAAGTTATGTTAGTTACCTGAAGATGTTTCTTTATCATGGTGTTCAGGTAAGTGGCTATGTTAATTACCCGAAGATGTTTCTTCTTCAGGGGGTTCAGGTAAGCAGTTACGTTAGTTACCTGAGGATGTTTCTTTATCATGGTGTTCATGTAAGTGGCTATGGTAATTACCTGAGGATGCTTCTTCTTCAGGTGTTCAGGTAAGCAGTTACGTTAGTTACCTGAGGATGCTTCTTCTTCAGGGTGTTCAGGTAAACGGTCATGGCAGCAGCCTTCTTCTCGGTGAGTCTGCGCTCAACCCGCTGCTGGTGCACATCCAGCAGGTGCAGCTTCTCGATGCTCCACTCCTCCTCTAACCCGGCAACCATCTTCTGAAACTTCTGTAAAGGCAGCACAATAATGCATCATGATGAATTCTCAAAAGGAGGCCGAGTGATTACCGCACATTATTATTATTATTATTATTATTATTAACTTTTTATTGCATGTAATTCAAATAGAATTTTTTCTACGTCTTTTTCATGGAGAAAAAAATCTGATAGATGCAATAGTGTTGAGCAGTTAAAATAATAACATTTCTGAGTGATACAGTACAAAATAGCGCTATACAACATGTAGGGAAAAACATACATACAAAAACGACAGTACATTCTGTACAAGTAAAGTGATTAACACATGTTTCTTGGCAACACATACTATCCCCCCTCCCGATAAATCAACGCATATGTTTAAGCAAGAGTATTCTACAATAGGATACCTCTGAATTGTGAGTGTGAAGGTACACGATGGCAAATCTAGTTTTTATATAAATATCTAGTCGTTATATCAGTGTTCGAAATAAGGGCTATCCGTTTGTCCTCACTTGTCCAATTCCACGGAGGACAAGTAGACATGTCCAGTAGCTTGTCCGCCAGACAAGCAGCCTTTTAGAGCAACTTTTTCATCATTTTCTACCATCGCTGGCCGCCGCCTGAGAAACTGTTAACTAAGACTGTCTAGACTAAATGTCAAATTTATCCTAGTCAAGTGACTCTGGCTCATAACTCACTGTGGTGAGAGTCAGACTCAGGACTGACCATGTATTGTTATTATAACATTGAAGCTTCAAATTTGTTAAAGTAACTATTGCGAGAGTTTTCAGTGCAAAGCTTTTAGGGTTATTATTTGGAGTGATTCAAACGCAATTTTTAAACTTGCATTTTGATTGTAATAAAGGTATCATAACCTGCAGCTAACGCACCAACGTGCCCGGGAGCGTGGAAGCCAGCCCCGGCGAAGCTGGACAGGTTGTGAGGTCGGACAACAAGCGCGGCCGCATATAAGGGGGGCCGCGCCGGGGAGTCAGGGGGCGGCACTGGGCGAACAAACCCGCTCATGTTACGTTTCAACAAATGCATTCAAATAAAGACGTCTATATCATATATAATATACACAACCTCTTCGATCATCACTGGCTACGATCACTGACCGAAAAGTTCTGTGACCGTCTACACCTAATTTGACCTGTTAGTGAACTGTATTCAAATTACGAGATAGATAAGAGTAAGATATTGGGTCTAAAATTTAATTTGATTAAATGTATTACACATTTACAATATTTGAATGTTATTAATCAGGACAAGCAAAAATATCTTGTAGCTTGTCCGTCTGACAAGCAAAATCTTTTCCTTATTTCAAACACTGGTTACTGTTTACTTATTATTGATATAAATTTCAGTATTTACTTATTATCGACATTATTAAGATTATTACTTATTATGTTATGAAGGAAAGGAATGCTGTGCTACACACCGCTTTCAACCATAAAGATAAACTTACGAGACTAAAATTCATGCTGGATAAAAGTGTATAGTGTATGTACTTCAAGGCTTATAACCAGTCCATTTTCCTAATTACAAATTTAGGAGTGTTCTTACCGAGGACATATCTTTCTTGAACTTCTCTGCACCATGCGGGTCACTATTCTTCATGCCTTGGTACTGTTCTTCCATATCAGACCACTTCTTCATAACCTAAACAAAGACCACATGTATACAAGCCAGGGTATTTTTTACAGAGTTGGGCACACCAGTCAGTACATATTTGGGGGAATCGCGCAAACTACAGTTGGTTCAGGATAGGGGTTCACTGGATCAAAATTCCGGCCAGAACCGGAACTGTAGCTGTAATCAAGGATCACCATTTCGGTCCTATATTGATTAAAATTACTTAACATGAACGAAATAGCATTAGTACGCACATCAATCAAGTAAGTAGGGCGATGTCTAATGTTCTAATTACAAGATGGCTATTAGGTGTACGAGTCGGCTGCGTTCAGTCAATGAAAATATAGCTCAATGACGTGATATCATATTCCTACCTACAGTCAGGCAGGAAGTGCAATGCTAAAACTATAATTCTCTGCCAGTAAGATCTTTATAGTAACAGAAATTAAATTAGAAAAAAGTTCTGGCGTCAGCCAACTTTTGTACCTGAAACCAGAACCCTTAAAAATTAGGGTTCTGACTGTAACTATCCCCAAGATCCAGTGCATACCTAGATCAAGGGCAGCAGCCTGTGCCACTGAATGTGGGTAATCTTGTACAGGCACATGGACACCCGCTACAATATACTGATATACCAGCCTCAGCAAATACACTGAGAAGTGATGGCAATTGAATCATCACTAATGTACGAACGGTCTACGATATACGCTGCCTGTAAAAAAAATACTAATAGGAGACGACATCGGCAATATGCGTACCAGGGTGACCTTGGCCTGGTGTTTTTCCTCGAGTCGCTTCTCAGCTGCCTTGAAGTCCACGTGCTCCTGATCGCTAGTGTCGCTGCTGTAGTAAGCATCATCCTCCATGGTGTCATCCGCATCCACAACGTCAGCTGCAACATAGCGATTACCAGCATGGTCACTTACAGTGCGGGCGCATGGGAGACATGTTTATTATTGTATGCAATATAGTTTAAAAGACTATGGCAGTAGCATGGCAAATACCAACATGCTCATAAGCTATGTCCATGGAAAAGGGCATTTTAAGTAGTCTGTGTAACATAGCTTATAGCAATATTGTGGTTGTAGCTATCAGAATCTTTACCAAACCTAGAAGTACCTTTACAGGGTGCGAAATTAACGCGAGTCCGGAGTCAAATACTCCCTGATTTGACATATGCAGGAGTCCGTGTGGCTCCCTGAAAATTCTGCTATACGAACTTAGTAACTAGTTGTGTTTTTAGCAACTGACCCAAGAAAAATTCTGTGGTACTACTTGTATACTGCGGACTCCCTCATTTTGCTGCGGACTCCCTCTTTTTGGTTGGACTCGCTTGTTCAAAAGTTAATTTCTACCCCTGCCTTTATATTATAGAGACACAAATCTATATATTTTTCTGGCTTCACACATCACCACCAAGAGGCAACTCAACAAAAACCCGCTGCTCAATGATCTTACCTCCTTCCTTTTTTACTTACTTCCTTGTTTACATACCTACTTGCTAACTTACAAGCTCCCAAAAATATTTCCCTAAATAATGACCATAAAGACTCATTACGTCGTTCCTGACAAACTGATGATAGCTCAAACCAAGTAAACAACCTGCAAAAACCTCGCTAACCCAGACATCGATGCCGCGACAATTTCTCTACTCAGAAACTAACAACACATCCCCTAAAAGATTTCGCTGACTAACTGCTGAAAAAATCTCGCTAGCCCAGACACCGATCCCCCGACAATTTCTCTACTCAGAAACTAACAACACCTCCCATAAAAGATTTCGCTGACTAAATGCAGAAAAAAATCTCGCTGGCACAGACAACGACTTCTATCGCCGATCTCGTTCGCCCGGCGATAGCCGTGACGACAGCGCCACCTACCGGACTCCTCGCTGCCGTCCTCGCGCGGGCAGCAGACGAACTCGACTCCGCTGAACATGTCGACGCCGCATGGCAGCAGCATGCCGAAGTTCTCCAGCGTCTTGCCGGTGGACACGCACGACCTGTTCGCGCGCCGCTGCCAGTCGGCGAACAGCATGCACTTCTCGGAGAGGTGGATGTGGTCGAACGTGCAGTGCTGCGGCACCAGCAGCGGGTCACTCTGGAACGGCCCGACTGTAACGCGCGTGTGCGCGGCAAGGAAGACGTTATCACACGTTGAAGATTGCAAATCCTACGCGTGATTAATCAAATTAATCCGAATTGAAATTCGTTGCTTCTAATTAATCACATGCGAGTCGGAATTGAAATTCATCTCTAATTTTGATTAAAATTTAATGAGAACAAACGCACCAGAACTGATGTAATAAAAAGGAATAATAGCATAAATATAGAAAAGGGACTAATCAAGTGCAATTCGACAGATACACGAAGTTTAAAGCTAATCTACTAACCAGGAATTTAAATGATTCAAATGAATTCAAAGAATAGAAATAGAACAATATAATATACATTATTTGGTACAAGCACCTCTCACACCTCAGGGGACATCTTTATTATTCCATGTTTAAAAGGTAAGAGAACTGAATATATAACTGTGTATAGCACACATAAATTATCAGTCCTATTCAAGTGTGCCTCATCCCAATTTTTACTTGTGAAGGCTTACTTTTCAAAAAGGTCAAGGTACTGATTTACACAGCACGATTTTCTGTAGTTACTCACGTGTGCACACAAATGGGATCGACCTTATTGCTCACAATATGATAGCACACAATCAACATCACGATGAACACACTAATTACAGAGCCCACATTAGTTAAATGGGAAACCCATGTCTTTGTCTCGTGTTAAATTATTGCCATTAGATACGTGATTTAGGCAATATATGACCTAATTTCTACATTTCTAGATTGTCAAAATAGGGCTAATTGTTTTTACAATACTTCTACACTGAGATAACATTTCTAAAAACACACCCATTCCAATAATTAAAACACAAATAGAAAATAGAATAGAGAGTACTGAGAGACCAAATTTCAATTGGAACTATGGCATATTTGCTTATCACCACTATATCATGAAGGTACTGATAAAGCCTCTAGAGATTGATTCTACAATCGCTCATAAAACCAATGACCATTATGCAGAGCATAATTATATCTAGAAATTGGGAACAAAATTTAGTGACCTAACCCATGGTTGAGTTTTTTTACCGCAAATTAGCTCTAGCATATGTTAAACTTAAAGGCCTGTGGAGAACCCTAATACATGTGTTTTAATATGTTAACATGCATAAAGTGTGCTTTTTTTATTACTTCTTTTTAATGGCTAAAATGTTTTTTCATAAGAATGCATCTCAGGTTATATAATAGAAGGCAATGGGGAAATGTTATTTAGCCTTTACGATTTCAGCATTAGACATTTCCTCCGCAACACAGGTGGGGGTACTACTGTATGCACTTTGATACCAACAGCCAATTACTCAGGTATCATCAGAGCTTGCATATCTATCTATCAGTGCCTTCAGCAGTGGCTATGGAATCAGTACTAGTAATGCTCATAGGGTCTATGTCCCCCAGGGTACTGCCGGAACGTACCCTGGGTACGGTCCGGTATACCGGAACGTACCCTGGTCACTATTTGATATGGTTAGGGTTAGGATTAGGGTTAGGGTTAGGGTTAAGGTTACTCCCTAGAATCGTTAGTGGAGTAGGCGAGGTACGGTCCGGCATATTAGATAGTACCAGGGTACGTTCCGGCAGTACCCCGGGGGACATAGACCCTCTCAGTACTAGTAATGTCTATATGAGCACAGCAATCAATACACACCCAGGCATCTGTAGGGCATCACGTCATGACTCCATTTGCACTTTTTATGTCCTGTGTGACACCAGTTGTGGATCCTCACAGTTGATGTTGACTCCACAACATTAGTGATTTGCAGCGTCGGATAAGCCTGCAAACAAAAATAGGGGGTGTGAGGTACTTTTCCCGATAACTAGCGAGTCATTTTAAATCCATACATGTACACTTTTGCAGTGCGAGAAATTAGCGCTATTTTGCCGGTGGCCGCCGGTTCAACCCCCCATATAATCATACCACTTGGCCTATTCAAAATGTTGCCCATCTTGCAATAATTATATCAACAATATTTACCAATTTCCTGACTAGTTTTCACTTAACGCCTACTAAGAAGTAAATCATGTTCCAGCAATTCCTGTCAAACAAGTAGAACTCCACTGATAGCAATAAATTAGTGAAATACTATGAGTATGACTAATAAACACAAAGCTAATCCTTTTATTAATAATGGAATAAATTGAACAAAATTAAGGGTCTGTTCAATTTGTCTAAGGGCCTGTTCACACTTTGGCTAATTTCATGCCCTGCTTTTGTAATCAATAGAGAATAAATAGTGATAAGCGATCATGTGTGATCATCACCAAAACATATATGCTCTTGTAATAATGTAAACACTATAAGTACAATCTGTACACCAACTTTAACATATATATGTTTACCTTGTACGTATATACATCTCAGCAAGAGTAGATAATAACACATGTGTTATTATCTACTCTTGATCTCAGTTTATCTAGATCAGTGATTCTTAACCTTTTTTGAGTCATGGACCGCTGTGAGGATCTGGTGAAAGCTACGGACCCCTCCCCAGAAAAATGCACATGTATAAGCACATCAACATAATTATTTTTATGCGCCTAGTTCACGGACCCCCTTGAAGCCAACCCACGGATCCCAAAGGGGTCCATGGACCACAGGTTAAGAACCCTTGATCCAGATGAACATGCACACAGAATAATATGTATATATATATTGTATGCACTGATATAGATCAACGAGTTTAGAAATGAATACAAATTCAATGATAGCTAAGTGAGTTTAGAAAATGCTGTGCCCTGTAGATAGTATTGATTGTACTTTTCTGTAAAGTGATATAGCCAACATTGAGCTGAATACACGTGTAGCTGACAATCCAGGGTTGCTCTACACGATACAGTATGTGTAACATGCGTGATCACTATCAATGATTGATATAGATCCATCCCCTAATGTCACTGAAATATACCCGGCTAACCTAGCAACTCAGCCCTCAAACAGGTAATGTGAAATTATAGCAACATACATGAAACCGTTTATTATAAGATATACGTGGGAAAAACAAAGGAAAACAGAGTGAGATCATAGGGGGGGGGGGAGGCAGAGATAGGGGGACAGAGAGCAAGATCCAAACACAGAGAGAGAGGAAACAGTGAGAGAGAGAGAGAGAGAGAGAGAGAGAGAGAGAGAGAAGAGAGAGAGAAGAGAGAGAGAGAAGAGAGAGAGAGAGAGAGAGAGAGAGAGAGAGAGAGAGGAGGAGGGGAGGGGGAGGGAGGAGAGGAGAGGAGGGAGGGGAGGGGTAGGGGAGGGGAGGAGGGAGGGACGGACGGAAGGAAGTAGAGTA